GGGATGTTACTGATCGCAGAAGGCGTCCTGGCTTCCTCAAGTCAAAGTCGAAGGCGACTGGAAAGTGATCAGAAATAAGTTTGTCCTCAATAATGAGGTTTTGGATCATAGCTGCCCGGTCCTCTCTGACAACCAGCCAATCTAGGATATGACCTCGCTTCTGCGTCGGGACACTGACAAGCTGAGTCATTCCGTGCGTGTCGAGAGCTGATTTTAGGGTCTTCACGTAGCTGTCGGTGGTGGAGTCGAAATGGCAGTTTATGTCGCCGATTATGATGACATTGTTGTTGCTGGTGGCATACATGTCAAGGAGTTGTATAAACTCCACAGTAAACTGACAGATCTTCAACTTATTTTGCTTATTTGGAGGTGGCCTGTATATGCACAGAAACGTCATCACTTGTTCACCGTAATTAAGTTGCATTTTGCACATTTCAAATGAAACAAACTCGTCCGATTTTGAGAATGTTACACTGTTTTTAAGGGAGTTCCTGTAAAGGACGGCAATACCACCACCACTGCACGACTGCCGTGGGCAGGAGTGAAGGACGTAGTCCGGAGGTGTAATTTCTTGAAGCTTCACCTCATCTCCGACACGTTTAAACCACGTCTCGGTAATGAACACAAGGTCGGCCCTGCTCTCCAAGACAAGATCACACACCTCGGCCGTCTTATTCCTGCAGGACTGGGAGTTGAAATATAGCACTCCGAAATGCCGTGATTGCTGCGGCTTCACAGCAGGCTGGCAGTCAACAACAATTAAATTTGATCGCGTCACTCCCCGTCGAGGCGATGTGAAATCATGAGCCACCGGTAGTCCTCTTAGTATTGAAACGTAGGGAATGGTCGCGATGGATGACACAGTATGTGGCTGATTTCCTTCGTTACTGACGGCCTCGTTTAAAGGCTTTACATAACGATCTCCACAACCAAGAATAGATAATTACTATCCAGTGGCCACATCACCATCCATACGATGAGATGATCTCTAGATAATCAAAACTCAAAATGGCCGACACGTGTTCTTTGATGAACACACGTGTCAAACAATGAGAAAATATAAAGTACAAATGAATTAAATTCATTCCGATGAGAAATTCCTTCTAATCAGAACGAAATACATTCTTTAAACATTGAATGGTTAATTAACTATGTACATGGTAGCATAAATATTCAAATAAAGAAATGAAATCGAAATATTCGTTCACTCACTAGGTTTTAGAAAAAGCCGTCTTTAAGGTGCTCTAAGTCGACTACTGAGACAGATTTTAGTTATACAACGGCTTTTATGCTGATCCTATTGTAATTGCTTAATGGACGATCACTAACATCCGATTCCAATGATCTCAATAATTTGATGCGTGACGAAAAAACGATCGCTCACCCAAAACGTGACATTGTCTCGACTAGGGCATTCCTTGAACCCTTTCTTTGTTCCAATACGCAACTTTTCATTGACTTTCTGTGTGTATTTGACCTTGATCAGGGGAAATAACTCGTCCTGACTTTGAAAGGGAGGGGGCTTCTAAGTAGGTTGGCAAGAGTAAATGGACATTTTTATGTCGGCTCTATTTCGTCACACATATAAAGTTGCCTTAAATTACATGGATGGTCATCCCTGCCCGTATATTTTTTAAAGGTGGCATAAAAGGAATGGCTGGTTGTTCCAACCTATATCTCATGTAAAGTGCCTTGAACAATATAGCTTGTCATGTTCAACTGTATCTCATGTAAAGGAGCCTTGAATGACTTTGTTGGTCAATCCAACCTGTATGTCATGTGAAGGTGCCTTGAGCATTATGGCTGGTCATGCTCACCTGTTTCTAATGTTAATATGTCTTGAACGATATTGGTTGTCCTATCAAGTTCTTTGTAATTTTAAGGTGCCTTGCATGATAGGGCTGACCATTCTAACCTGTATTTCATGTAATGTTGCCTAAAACGATATGGCTGTTCACTCAAATCTGTGTCTTATGTAAATGATCCTTGAAGAAAATTGCTGGTCTATCTCACTCATTATTCATTGTAAAGGTTCCTTGAATGATATGGCTTGGACACTATCTCCTGTTCCAAAAAAAATTACATTGAATGATATGACTTGGCGTTCCTACCTGTATATCGTGTAAATGTACATAGAAGATATGTCTGGACACTCCTACATGTATCTCATGTAAATTCGCCTTGAAAGATATGGTTGATGACTCTCACATGTATATTATGTCATGGAGCCTTGAACGATTTTCCTTGTCACTAACATCTGTATCACATGTAAAGCTGCCTAAAAATACGGCTGGTCACAATAACATTTATCTGATGTAAAGATGCCTTGAAAGATGTGACTTGGCAATCCAACATGTATATCAATCATGTACAGGTGCGTTGAACGATATGACTGGTCACTTTCGTGGGTTTCACATGTAAAGTTGACTTGAACGATATGACTGGTCACTCTCACCTGTATCACATGTAAACGTGTGTGACAAGATGGCTGGTCACTCTAGGCTCTATTTCATATAAAGATGCCTTTAAAGATATGGCTAGTCACTCTCATATTTTTCTCATGTAAGATGCCTTGAACGGTATTTCTGGTTATTCCAACCTGTATATTATGTAAAGTTGCCTTAAGCGATATGTCTTGTCACTCTCATCTCTATGTCATTTAAAGGTACTTTAAGCGATATCTCTGGCCATACAGACCTGTATCTCATGTAGTGGTTCCTTGAACACTATGGCTGGTCATGCTTACCTGTATCTAATATAAAGGTGCCTTAAACGAGTGGGCTCTGTCATTCCATCCTGTATCTCATGTAAAGATTCATTGAACTATATGGCTGGACATGCTCAGCTGTATCTTATGTAAAGGAGCCTTGAACGATATGGCTGGTCATATACCTTGTATCTCATGTAAATGCGGCTTAAATGATGTGCCTGGTTATGCTCACCTGTATCTCATGTAAATGTGCCTTGAAATATATGGCTGTTCATTGCAACCTTTAACTCATGTAATTGTGCCTTGAACGATATACCTGGTAATTCTCACCTGTTTCTCATGAAAAAGTCTCTTGAATGATAAAACCTCTTATAATCATATCAAAGATCTGATTCACATGGCTCTGTGACGAAAGCAGGATAGTTGTGTCGTATAATGTTTCATAGAACATGCAAACTCTGCTAGACATCATGTTGGAAATTAAAATTTGACTAAAGAATTTACAGGTTGACAAGACTACAGGCGGTGAAAACAACTATAGACAGCATAACTGTGAGACTATGTGTCGACTCATATAACCAGCTATCGGACTTTTATTCATTCAAGCATAGGCTTCCTTCACCATTATCTCCGTATGAGAGTGTATAATACGCAACTATGACGATTATATCCTGTCTTCCCAAATTTTAGCATGATGGAAATATTATAAGCACGGTATTAACATACTTCAAAACGTTATAATAAGTATTTTTTCTTTAAAAAAAACTATTTACATAGCCTTTTACCATACAAGTGATTAAAAATAAAAGCAAATATGCTATTTTTAAGAGACCCAGAAGGAAGCGCAAGAAATAGGCGTTGCTCAGCGGTAGAAATAATTGTACTTAGGATTGCAAAGAGTTAGAAAAGAGTGGGACAGGACACCAATGGGTCGGAAAATGTAATAAGATATTGAAAATGAAAAATCTTCGCAGGGATTTTAAAAAAATTCAAAATAAAACAAAGAATAGCATATATTGTAAATTTTATCCAATTTTCGGATCTAGGCTAGCACTTCAGGTGATGCTAGCAACAGACATAAAAACATCTCCAACAGATTTTTTGTGAGCCTGCTTTTTTTTTGTTTTTTTATAGAAGATTCACCAAACATACCTTAATGTTTGAAAAGTGTACTATAATTTTAAAGATATTGCTCAGTTTTTTTTTTTACATTTAAAAAATTACAGACTTTGTATATATCTATGCAATCGGTATTAATTTATCAATCATTTCATATCAGAAACATCCGTTGTTTAAAAAAGAAGGCCATTCATTGAATTGAGAAAAAACATACATTTGGTATTTAAGAGAGCAGAGACATCGACAAACAGCTCAGTTAACCACAAACTCCAATGATAACCACTTCATTTGACCACACACGCTTCAGTTGACTACAAACAACTCATTTGACCAGACACAATTCTGTTGACCTCAAACACCTCATTTGACCAAAAACAAGTCAGTTGACCTCAAACTCCTCATTTGACCACAAACACTTAATTTGATCACTAATGCTTCAGTTGACTACAAACACCTCAAATTGCTACAAACACCGTTGTTGGCTACAAACAACTTAGTTGACTACCACACCTAATTTGACTACCAACCCCTTATTTTGGTCTTAACCATTTCAGTTGACAACAAACAACTCAGTTGACTACAAACACCTCAGTTGAAAACAAAAACCTCAATTGACCACAATCTCCTTGGTTTACAACAAAAACCTCAATTGACCACAATCTCCTTGGTTTACAACAAAAACCTCAATTGACCACAATCTCCTTGGTTGACAACAAAAACCTCAATTGACCACAATCTCCTTGGTTGACAACAAAAACCCCAATTGACCACAATCTCCTTGGTTTACTACAAAACCCTCAGTTGATCACAAGCACCTCAGTTGACCACCAACTACTCAGCTGAACACTGATACAATTTTTTAAAATCTTCAACTGAAAGAATTATTGACAAATTAAAGAACTTTATTATTAAACAAGATTTATTTTATTGGTAATGTGTGGATTTAATGGTCAAAAGTTTGTTTATTTTTTTTTTGGTCAAGATCTATTTTTGGTCAGGGTCTTGATCTAAATTAAACTTTGATCACAGATTTCAACATGTTCATAATCATTTTCTATCTACATCTTAAGCGTGTGAACAAAAGAAATCAGAAGTGATGAACAAATTCTATGGGACACTTTATCTTGCTAAAACTGTGGTTTATATCTCCAAAGACTATTACACCAGCGATATGGAGGCACAAAGGGTCTGTAGGTCGGTCTGTGGAGATCTCCTTGAGGTGAAGAATTTAGATGAGTATACGTTGTTGAAAAGGCTTATAGGACGAACTGGTCGTATAGATGGGCTACTGATATCTGGAACTGACAAGTACCGAGAAGGGATTTGGGTGCATCACACAAACCGGAGACCATTGACTTACTTGCCCTGGCATGAAGGAGAGCCAAACAATTTAAAGGGAATTGAACACTGCCTCTGCATTTTGAAAAGATATGATTTCATGTATGATGTATCATGTGATTTAACCCATTTTAAACTCAAGTTTGCCTGCGAAGTGCCTCAAAATTTAAATCTTTATCCACCAAAATTTGTGTTATATTAGATTTGAGCCTGTGCCAAATTTCAAAAACGTTTTGGTGTATGAGATTCTATTTGTTCTGTCTTTAAAACAAGTTTTTAACAACTTTAAAGACAATAAACCACTTTCCTTTTAATGTCGTTTAAATAAATTAAAGCTCAAAAAAATAATTGTTCTTGTTATCATTGTAACATTTAAATACTTGTGACGTCATATAGTTTGGACATTAGTTAGAGGAAAAATGAAATTTGTAAATATTTTGATTGTGAGCTGCATACCATTTCTTTTTGAAAGGTCGATTTTCAAAATGCTGTTTCTCTATTTTTGGCGTTTTAAGATATTTGATTTTTTTGCTACACAATGATGGCTCAAATTTTTAGAAAAAGTAAGTGTTAATTTAAAAAGATACAAAATAAAAACTTTTATTCCTAATGTAAAACGGTTCTTGCCATTATAATTATCATGCACAAATATATAGAAACATTTTTAAAAAAAATCAGAATTAGACTAGTCAGTATGATTCGACTGAAACCGTTGCAGTGAGTCACGCTAGAGATATGAGAATGGCGGAAACGCGATAGCGCATTAATACTAAACTTTGCTGTCATGTAGCGGGCTGCAAAATATTGTCTCTCCGGTCACAAATGGCTCGCGGCCGCTAGTTTCAGACCACTATATTAGATGTTTATTTATTAAAATTCACGATTATCTCATTTTTTTTTAAAGAATGTAAATGTTTATACTTCCTCCCATCATTTTCGACGTACGCAGAATGTATGCGGGAACGAATTTCAAAATATCTAGATATTTCATTTTCGGTTGCGTATTCGCTTTTGGCCTAAGGTCTTTTTTTTAATTTTCTGCCTTTTTTCGGCTTCGGCCGAAATCAGAAAATAAATTTCGCTCATTCTCTAACCAGTGCGGTGCCGATCTCGGTAGGTTTCAGGTTTTTATAAGATTCCGTTTCGAGTGGGATCCCGATTCCGTTAGTGTCCAGATAAAGGTAGGATTCTCTTCTCTGAAAGTATATCATTTCCTGATGAGATCCCGATCCCAATCCCGTTATCTGATTTGATCGCGTTACCGTTGGGTTCATTTTACTGCTGGATCTCGCTAATATTACTATAAGCTTTTATATCCCATTTTTATATATACCCGTAACACTATATAGAAATTTATGTAACATTCTAGATACAATTTAATAACCTCCTGAAAACTTGTCAACAGTAACATTCTAAGTAATTATTTTTGGAACACGAACTAAATATACTACTATCGCTATAATTCATTTCAGATAAAAGAGTGGGGCCATTTGGGACCCATTTCAAAATTTTAAAGATTCAGTTCTCTCCCAGATGGTGAACCTCATAAAAATTATTCAGATAATTTATATAATTAAAATTTAAAATGTATCCCATTAAAATCGGTTTAAAAGTGCCACACTTATAGCTTTTTGAATTGATCGAACTTTCTGGCATATTCTAGATTGGATATCCTTAGTTTTTAAATCCACGGATATTTCATTTCGGACAATGAAGTGTATTGCTACCACGCTAGGCCTATATCAATTAATTCAAAAAGAAACTATTGTGTTGTCTAAACCTATTGATATTTATACAGCTTAAATAAGGAAAATGGAATTGGGCTTCAGACCACAGAGGGATCTATGTGATAAGTTCAGTAATATTTGGTATTTGAATATGGATAATCAAGTGTATGTATACACTGGTTAATATCCATTTTCTCATGTAGGAGTATTTATTGGTCATTTTATTTATAATAATAATACTTATAACGTTTATATGAAAAACACGCTTCATCCCCAATAGCTCGAAGCGCGATACAAAGTTAACCATATTGAAAATAGAAATAAAAACCATCTAAAATGTACCATATTTAAAAACAGACGCAACAATACAAAAATTACATACGAGCATGCAAAGGCAAAATCATTCATCTCATTTCAACCATAAGCAACACAAGCCAATATACATTTACTGAAAAAAGATGGTAGATAGCATCACCCCAGAAGGTGTTTGCGAAATAGATGTGTTTTTAAATCAGTTGTAAAGGACTCCAGTGTCTGTCTTTTTCTGAGAAAAACAGGAAAGACATTCCAAATCATGTCAAACTTCTTGATCACTGCACCAAGTGGCTGAATATAAATAGTGAAAAGCACCGGGCGTAGTACGAGGCCCTGGGGTACTCCGATTTGAATTATAGATGGCATAGGGGTAAAGCCGTTTGAAATAACTGACTGAACCCGATTTGTTATATACGAGTGAAACCATCTCAGGACGGTATCGGGGAGACCGAAAGATTTTTGCAGACGCTGGAGAAGTATGCTGGGTTCAAGCGTATCGAAAGCTGCCATTAAATCGAGTAAAGACAAAATAGATACGTGGCCCTCATCACAAGAAGACAGAAGGTAGTTTACGACGCGCAACAGGTAGAGTCATGCTGAACAGTAGAGTCATGCGCCCTGTATGCTGAATGAAAAGATTCAAGCAAGACAGACAGAATGAGATTATCTAGGAGCTGGCGGAAAGCGACCTTTTCTAAGATTTTGGATAGAAATGGTAGATTTGAGACGTGCGATAATTTTCCATCACATTTGGGTTAATATTTGCTTTCTTTAACTATGGCGTTACAATCGCCTGTTTAAAAGATGATGGTACAATACCAGTTGTCAGGGACTGATTTATAATACAAGTGATGATGAGGAATCCAGACATTCATACAACAGCCCTGCTGGAAAAGGATTGAGTCAGCATGACTCTCTTGGGGTATCAGCGAGTGTTTTCCTCACATTCGATTCATTGACCTCAACAAATTTGCCCGTAAGAGAGCCGTTGAAGAGTGAGAATTTGGGAGTTTTATCGATGCAACTGTCAAGTTTTGCGCTGATCTTCTTAGCTTTTGTAATAAGGAAGTAATTTAGAGCGTCTGGCAGCTCTTCTACAGCAATGTTATTTGGCAAAGCAGTAGCCTTGTTTTTATCATTCAACTGACCCACAATGCGAAATAAGTATCTATAATCTGATGACTAACAGGCTCAGTCCTTGCTGCAAGGACCAACTTGTAACTAATATTGACAAAAATGGTTTTGGTGCCCCGGCCAAAAATAAAATGGTACAAAATGTTCATATCCACTTAAGAGTTTCTTCCTGGTAATATTGGGTATATGTGTCAAGTTTGGTCAAGATCATCAAATCCATGTACAAGCCTTTGTGGTTCAAACAGTCAAATCCAATGATGTGATGCGTTCCCGGTTTCCGGTTGGCAAGTCTGTTGTGGCTTGTCGATTAGGAAGCGTCGGCCACCGACCCCCTCGGCGTGTGCCTGGAAACATAACTACTGGGCACGCCCCGCGTGGGCAGACAAAGGGTGTGCTCGGTACCTGCCGTACATAAACAGCTCCGACAGGGCTGCCAGTTGTGATATTTCACAGCCGGAAAATTAGTCAGAGCCAGGGTAAGGATCATGATTACAAGTTGCCGGTGACGGGTATGAGGCCAGAGGCGAGGGTGGTAACCTCTGGCCGAAAATTAAAAACATGCATCGCTGAGAACGCTTCCCCTAGGCAACCGTTTCGTCCCAGCTACAGCGCGAGCTAGTTGCGTTGTGGAAACCCACTGTTGAATCCCTCTTATAGGGCGTCCGACGCTTTCCCGGGATGGGTGGGGGAAGATATTAGGACGTAAATTTTCCATCCCAACTCCTGAGAAAGTCGATCGAGACCACTGTTTAAACACATATTGTTGGACCGACCGCATGCCTACTGGTTGGGGCGGCCCCCAGGCGGGGTCCTGGTCGAGCGCCCAGGCTCCCGGGGGGACCTGGGTGAGGGTCCCGTGTGGGGGCCGTCCTGACGAGTGGGCATCTCTAACGTGCTGCTACGTGGCCCAATACGTTGGGCCGGGGAGGGGTAATTAGGGGGGGGGGTGCATAAAGAGTGCAAACTCGCCCCGCTGACACCATTTCTTGATGTAATAATAATGATGTGATGCATTTATTGATGGATGCGGCTATTCGGAGACGGTATCAAAAGTGAGAGGTAGGGATTAAACATGTTTTAAATAATATCGTTTGGTTTGTAAGATAAAATTTGGTATCGAATGAAAGATAATTGAATCGACTTTATGTTTCTGAACCCAATTCTTCAAAACCAAAAATGACATCCAAATAGCCTTTAGTCTAATGGGACCCGGGTCCGAATGGCGATGATGCGTTTCCAGTTTCATTTTGACTAAATGCTATTTGGATGTCATTTGTATATTTTTAGACATTTATATAAATATTTGGATATTGGTACATATTTTTGTATATTTATGGAAATATTTTGAAATATCTGCGTTTTTAAATATATTTTTGTATATTTTTTAAAATATTAGAAATATTTTGATGTTTGATATTTTTTTGAAATATTTTGAAATATTTTGATATTTTTTTGTATTTTTGTAAATATTTGGATGGATGCGGCTATTCGGACCCGGGTCTCTGTAGAGAAAATGGCTTTATGGACCCGGAGTAGTTCCGTATGAATTAAATGGCTTTGGACCCGGGTGCAGTAGTATTATTTTGAATTATTCTTTTCTCATTGTTATTTCATAGATTCATAGTGTTATTCTTATTAGTTTTTTTTCCTTTTTGCTTTATTATAGTTCTTATATTTTTTTTCTAATTTTCTTTAATTTTTAGCCATGTTCGTAGATTAAGGTTTTTATTTATATCTAGTAATCAATGTGAAAAGATACACATTTAGTTTCATTATAATTTTAGAAAACTAATAATATTAATGTAATTTTTAAGATTAAACCCTTCATTAATTTAGATGTATCTGTATTATTGAAGTTAAAAGTAAAATATTTAATTACACAGTACTTTGTGGAATAATTAGGTATTCTAAATGAAAATTTCATTCAAAATAAATTATTCAACTATGCCTCTAAAGAGAGCTTGGGCTTAATCAGAACAAAACC